GAATAGGACAGACAGTTTCTCGGTATTCCTGATGATGAGTGTCCGTTTAATTGTAGACTCAAGTAGAGATATTTTGGGGATCAGAAAGTGTGGGCAGCTTATGTAGTTCAGGTTTCATAGATTTCGTGAGGAAACGTTCTGGGGAGTCATTTCGAGGGGGATTCTTCAGTGTTCAGCTTCTCCATATTGTCAGGGCTACGAATCCTGCGGAGTCTATGGCTCAGTGAACGGATCAGATTTCGTTCAGCATATAAAGGCACCTACCTATAAAAGTGTTTGAGTCGTCCGTTCCATGTCTGCTTTCTATGGATGGATGTCTTTAGTGTTCTGTCTTGTTCACGTCTTGTCAATTGAACGTCTGGAAAAGATTTTTCTGTGTTGGACTGCTCTGATGTGAACTGAATCGTAGGATGGCAGCTGTTGAAATAGTCAAGGATATCCTCCAAATTCTCCTGGTTGTTGGAGATAATGAAAATGTCGTCCTCGCACCTCTTATAATACCCAGAGCTGTCGACCATTTTCTTTAGGTATATGTTTTCTAGTTTTGACACGGAAAATCTCCAAACAATCAGCCCAGTGGTGAGCCCATAGCTATGCCATCTTTTTGTCGATATATGTCGTTACTGAAAGAAAATTGAACAGAGTGCATCTCAGTAGGAGTTCCTTCAAATAGTCAGAGGGTATACTAATATTTATACCCTTTGAATCAATGTTTTCGCATATGTAGCATATTGTTTCAGTTAGTGGGACGTTCGTAAACAGTAATGCCACATCTAATGAGAACATGATTTGATTATAAACATTGGAGTTTTCAATGGAGTTGACAAAGTCGTAGGTATCCCGGAGTCATTGGCAGGGAACTTGCCTACTGATTGGTTCTAGTAGGTCTACTAGCCATTGGGCAGTGCGATAAGATGAATTCGTCATATCGAGGATAGTCTCACCCCATATTAAATCTGTACCTCTGATTACCACTGTTGTTAACTTGACTCTCGTTCAAATTTTAGTTGATTTCTACTCAGCATCGTCACTTATATTACGTTACTCAGCTTATTGAAAAATCACATTTCTTAATTTTGAGAAAATTAGTATAGTAGGTAAAATCGTTCAGTCGCTTATGTTACGTATAGCATCAGCGTAAGTTTTTGAGCTCATCTACCTGGGACAGATATTTTATTTCAAGTTACACAGTTATTATTTTAGGGCTGATAGTACTCCTTGGTTGTCCAGACTGAAGTAATTGGAATGGGATTCGAAACTAATGCCTATTGACTAAAAGTCGAGTACTTAATCCAGTAAGCTTCATAACCACAATAATGTGAGTAAGAATGAGATTAACCATAGAATGGTAATGAGGAAAGTAAATCGGTCGATGAGGTTATAAAGCTTCATAGATTAAGGTTACTGGGACAAATGTTACGCATGTCAAACCATCTCCTTCCTCGATAAGCAGTGTTAACTGGAGTAGCGCTAGGTTGAGAAAAAGCGATAGACAAATCAAACCTTGTTATTGTTCTATAAAGCACCGTCTGTTGATCTGAGATATGTGGGTTACCTGAATAGGGAAGTTTCCGTGAAGTGTTGCGAATAATTTGTTGAAGATTCTGGCGTAGATGTATTCACCCTTGACCATCTCTGTAATCCTGAAAAGCATCCTTGATCGTCATTTATGTATTTTTTCAGTTAAACATATATTTTTCTGTTAAAATGTTATTCTATTTTCCGTTGTCGATTATATGTAGTTTTTCGAATCGTGGTAAATTGAACTAATTCACTACTGTGACAAGTTCTACGTTCATTCATTCAGGTGTCAAGATTGTATGCAAGTAATCGTATAAAGATCACCATAAACAAGTACAGATTTCCTCAGCTTTGAGAAATTTGCAGATGTGAAACAAAATGTGCGCATCTCTAAAGAACAGTTTAACTTCGTGACTAGTTAGCGCACCATAGTCGATGGTTTTACTTAGATTGACGTAAGTAAAGCTAGATTCAAAGTCGGTATTTACTGTCTAAAAGTTGAGTCCTGAAACTCTTCACCCGCATCTCCATGGTATTTCTCTATACTGTGATTCGTAGAGTTTAAGTATTTCAGCTTCATTTAGCAGTCCTGATATTAACGACTGCAGTATTAAACTATTTACTTTGAATTATGTACTACAATTTCCCATTGAAGATTTATTTCCCGATACAAATTTAAAACAAACAACAAAGGTTAATAAAGCAGACTGAATGGATCCACCAAATTTCGGTAGAACTCGTCAGCTGAATACTCTACATACACGGACATATAAACTTTTGAAATTACATTGGGAGATATAAGACTGATAAGTAAATAAACTACATTGAATTGGTCATGCAGAAAGACACTGCTACAGAAACCTCAAGCCACTATGTTCCAATGGGAACGTGAAGGAAAAAAAGAATTGGTCATGCAGAAAGACAGATGCGAATGTTTTCCAGGTCATGTTCAAATAGATAAGGGGAGAGGGAGTATGAGAGATCAAAATTTTAAAAAAAATGCATTACGCTCCAATTATATCACTTATATAAGCAATTAGTCATTAGATAATATAACAAGAACAATAGTGAACCACTCCACAGCGTTGATATCATGTTCATAGTCCACAAGATGTTTTGTCATTGAGGTTTTTGACACTGTACTCAGCTGTTTTCAACCACCCGACCGAAAGCTGCTACCTTGACGTGGTGGTCGGGCTTGAACACCGCAATGACCTAATCAAGCTATACTGGCTGAGACTTATGTCTCTTGAGGTTCTACCATGCCAGGCAGGTTGTTTGGATAGCGGTTAAACAAAAAGCAGCTACCCCATCCAATACCATGATTCAAACAAATTCACAAAATTTCATGCCGGATCGGCCGTGGCCCGGATTAACAACGACCGCGCTTCCTGCTGCCGTGTCACAGGGCAGGAGTGATAAGTATGCTACTGAGGCACACCAAACAAAAAAAAACAAACAAAAACAGGCCGCGTGTGACCGGCCTCAAGCAGTTGTCCCCTGGGCTCTGCGGTCACGCAACCAACTTCCACGGTGTGGGCAGCCGGGAAGTAACAAACGCCCTCACAATCCGAAATGCACACAAAACCTCTCTAATCCTCACTTATCTTTGTCTTCATCTTCATCTCTATTACCTTGCCTTCCTCCCACTGATGCAACTCCTCTACTTGATGGCTCCTCACTCCCTCTTCACTCTGTGTCCACTAAAAACGACGGAAGCCAAAAAACCACCACCGATAGTCTCCTAAAGCCACGCCACCAATTTCATATAGGAGCATTTAATGTTAGGACACTTTGCCAAATAGGACAACAAGCATCACTAGCTAAGACCCTGGCATCCCGAGCCATTGATGTATGTTGTGTTTCAGAAACACGCATACAAGACCCAAGTGTGGTTATTCACCTAACCCCACCTGGCCAACAGGATGAATCTTCAAAATTCACCTTGAGGGTGTCAGGAGATGCCACAGCCAGTTCACGAGGATTAGCTGGCGTAGGGATAGCTTTGAGTACTAGGGCAGAAAAGACATTACTTGACTGGATCCCAGTAGATAGCCGAATGTGTGCTGTCCGTCTGAACGGATCAGTAAGAAGGAGAAAGGACTGCACTACTCGCCGATGCCTTTTCGTAATCTCCGCCTACGCCCCCACTGACTGCAGTTCGGATGAAACGAAGGATGAGTTCTACCAAAAGCTGTCTAGTTTGGTGAGAAAGGCTAAACGCTCAGATATAGTCGTTCTAGCTGGTGACTTTAATGCTCAAGTAGGGAAATTGTGTCAATCTGAGAAGGATGTCGGTGGCACCTATGGAGTTCCGTGCCAGCGAACCGACAACGGTGACCGTCTCCTACAGTTCTGTTCAGATAATCATTTGTTTCTTGTAAGCACTAACTTTAAACACAAGGAGAGACACTGTTTAACCTGGCGACCCCCATCATCAAACCAACGCTGGACACAAATAGACCACATAGCAATAAGCTATCGTTGGCGTGGGTCGGTAGGAGATTGTCGCTCCTTCTGGAACACGTGTGTAGATACCGATCACGCACTGGTCCGGGCTCGTGTGTGCTTACGACTGAACGGACGTAGGAAACAGCTGGCGGTAAAACCATCACGTCCCCAGCTCGATCAGGAAACTAAATCCCTATTTGAGGAAGAACTAGCTAAACGCATATCTGAATTCGACAGCTGTGCTCACCCTGGAGAAGCCTGGAAGAATATTCAGTCAGCTATAACAGCTGTAAAAGCTGTGAATAAGGCAAATCCAAAGGTGAGTAAAAACCACTGGATTTCGACTGCCTCATCCGAACTGATAGATGCTAGAAGACTTATTCCGGCGAGCTCCGAATTCAATGAGGAGCGAAAGCTGCACAAAAGGAAACTTACTAAAAGTCTCCGCAAGGACCGTGAACAGTGGTGGCTGACAAAGGCAAAAGAGATGGAAAAAGCATCGGCGATAGGCAACACTAGGCAACTCTTTAGACTCATCAGGGAAACGGGTGGGAGAAGGCAAATCATAAGTGAGACTATTTCTGAGAAAAATGGCTCCTTAATTAGCTCTCAGGATAGACGCCTTGAACGCTGGAAAGAACACTTTGAGGGACAATTTAACTTGCCTACAGCCACACTGAACCTCCCCGACATTCAGCACACACCCGAATGGGATATAGACACTGGTCCGCCGTCTGTAAGTGAGGTCACAAAAGCTATCAGTAATTTGAAACGAGGCAAAGCGGCAGGACCCGACGGAATTATTCCGAAGGTGTTTAACTATGGCTCTGAAACATGGCCAATACGAGTTGAAGACATGAAAAGGTTGACTGCTTTCGATCATAGATGTCTGCGATCTCTGTCTCACGTTAAGTGGTTTAATAAGGTAAGTAATGTTGACGTTAGGCGTAGTGTTGGGCAGAGAGGGAAAATCAATCAACGAAGCTATAAAGTTACATAGACTGAGATGGCTAGGTCACGTGCTGCGCATGCCTAACCATCGCCTCCCCCGACGGGCATTACTAGCTGATATAGGTGCAGGTTGGAAAAGAGTAAGTGGTGGCCAAACAAAAACATGGCATCAATCCATGAAATCCTTGACAGTTAAACTGAGTCAGGTAGGGAGATTCAGACTCCCGGGTTGGGGCCCTCGGGACTCTAGGAATCAATGGCTGGAGACAATAGGTGACATGGCTCAAAATCGTTGTCAATGGCGCAGATGTATTCAGTCTCTGTAATCTTTCATATTCCTTTCTACCATTACCCATTCTGTTTCACTCTTATACTTGTCAGACTGTATTGATTCTCTTCACTCATCCTCTTGTCTACCTTTGTGTGCTATTTGGAACGTGGCAACTCGAACTGCTGCACTTCGGTGCCAAGTTCTATGTTGAATCCAGACAGAAGAAGATTTTGGCAAATGCTCCATCATGCGAGTAGACAATCACCTTTCTGTACGACCTATGTATTTGTTTCCACAAACACACTCAGATTTATATACGCAGTTTGAAGTGTCGAGGATTTGCGACTGGTCTTTTCCAGATTGTTGAAGCATTCACCTAGTGGTGTTAAGGAAAACAAGTTTTGCAGCATAAATAAGTTCTCTTCATAGCTTTATCGAGTCTTCGTTTGACTACTTCCTGTACATCATCTCCTTTGAATGGCAAACTGATAAGAACATATTTCTTCGGAACTGTTTGGTTAGTTTCGCAGGGGCTAATATCTTTAGAGTATTTATTAATGAACTCAGGGTATCCATTCTGAGATACAATATCCTTCAGAGCTTTTATTTCATGCTCAATAGTACTGTCAGAACAAATTTTCCGTGCTCTATTGAACAATTTTCTGACTAAGTTCTTTTTGTACTGGACTTAAAATGCGTGTACTGTCCTGTCCATGGAGACTTTCGATTATGCCATCAGTCGTTTTCACTAGAAAAACGTCTAGGAATTTGATAGTATCATTTTCTTCGTGTTCGATTGTGAAATTGAGATTGGGGTAGCATGAGTTGAATTTTACGAACATGTCTTCAGCTTTTGATCTGCTTCCACGGACAATAGAAATGTCATCAACATATCTTAGGTATGGATCCGTTTTTTGTATATGTTGCTGCAAGGTACCGGCTTCTAGGTCTGACAAGAATAAGTCGTCGAAAAGTGGTCCCAAAGCCTCAGGATGGTCGGGGGTGGGTGCCTTGCGCTGCGGGTTGGCCACCCCTCCGCACACCTCTTGAAATGCTCCCATATGACCGGGCGTCTTACATAGCCTCTCCTGAGGAAGTCCTACTCACTGCCTTCACGTGGCGGAGGTGTTTCTCACCAAAGTGAGAGGGCGAAAGCGGATGCCCGGCGCTCTCCACCGGGTTGACTGTCCATTGGATGACGGTCTAGGGGAGATGGCTAAACCCTGATTCCAAACCTCCAACGACTGGCGTATGAAGCTCACTGGAGCTCACCGGCAGACGTATGGACAAAGGGCTTGTTGGATGTCTGGCCCCATTCAAAAAGGCGTATGAACCGAACTCCGGTCACCGGCTGCCAATGGATAGTGGACTCCTTACTCCACTCCTACTGCCTTGTAGGTCACACTTGGCTGTGTAAAGGCTAGAGCTGCACTCTCAAACAAAAGGCCGAGCGATGCTGGGGACATCACTCGTACCAAATTCCCATGAAACTTCATGAACTCTCTTACAAATTGCCGCGCCTGGGCAGCGATGATTCGAGACGTTCATGAAGCCGGCTCATCCTCCCGTAGGAGATAGCCGAAGTAAAGTAAGTAAGTAAGGTCCCAAGGGGCTTCCCATTGTGACACCATCAACTTGATGGAATAGACACCCGTCGAATTGGAACTGGACATTTTTAGTACCTTTGTATGTACACATATCTTGGCTGTGAGTTCTGTAAGGTTTTTGCGCTACTGACGACAAATATGGTCATTTTAATGCATTTCTCTTAAAGAGAGATTGAAGTAAATATTTACTAAAAACATTCCAGATGGTGCAATTGCTTCGGTGTAGCAATATAAAGGACCACATATTACTTATTTTGAAGTCACCACCTGTAAAATGTCAACTCACCGTTACTACGGTGATATTCGTGTTCCATTCAACAACAGTAAGTGTCTCTGAAGTTTAATTCTGGGTTCTTGCATTGCTCTGTATATACCGCTAAATAAATAGTGTTAAGTGCATATAAAGGTCGAACGGAAATCGATTTCTGAAAGTTGGAGGTAATGTTCTTAAGAGTCTGTTACCAATTTAGATTTATTCACATTATTAATTTATTCTAAATAGTGGTTTTTTACTTGACGCTGTAACCTGTATTGTTTATTTCTCCTCATTATATTATCATTTTTTGTACTAACAGAACAGCGTTAATCTTATCCCTGATATTCATGAGAAAAACAACACTTCTTTATTATGGTTTCGCTTTTTCCAGCTGACCATATGCCTGGTCAAAGCTAGGCTGGGTTTATGTTGGTCTTCCTTAATGGTCGATAATTGGGAAGCAGATTCACTGGTTGTTGAGCGAATAAAGCAGAAACTTATGCTGGAGAGATTACAAGTTGAAAATCCTGGGTTGGATTTCAGTTCAGCCGAAATATCTGGGAACGTTCGCAATAGTGGATCAACACTTTAACTTTGCTCTGTTGTGCCACGATTTCGAAATAAAACATTCTTCGAAATCCTCTTTTTGTTCATTATTTATCATTTTGTACTATCCATTATGTAATTTTTTTTCAGAATGTGGATAAAACTCTGCTTTACAGAACATTTCTTCCAGCTTGTGAGTATGAAAAATCAAAGTGTATTCTATCCAAGGTAGATTCTACACCTAAACATCATAGTATTCAACTCTCTGGTCAGGAAGCACGCAGTTATTATGAATCACTTACTCAATGTGTAGATAAAAAATCAGATTCATCACTGTCTGTTTCAACCTCGCGTGAATGTACTGTTTGTGGCGTTGATTTTGATGATTATGAAAAACACGTGTCATCTATTGGCCATCAGGTGGCAGAAATGCATGGTAGAACTTTAAAACCATCACCTCTTATAATCCCTCCTTCAAATAAAGGTTACCAAATTTTAACTAGAATCGGTTGGAGGGATGCTGCTTTTAATGTAGACGAGGAGTTAAGTATTTCAATGACATCAACCAATGCTTCTTTGGCGTCTACATCACAATCTTGTTCTAAAGGCAGTGGTCTTAATGCTGCTAGAGAAGGTCGGCGTTTTCCCATCGCAACTGTTCTTAAACGAGATCGTTTGGGATTTGGTTGGTCCAACAGTACTAATACTGCGAAAATCACCCATTTCAGCTCTGGTGATATTAGAGCGATTCAAAATTTACGAAATCCTAAACTTTCTTCTGTTAAAAAAGATACCAAATATTTAGTCCGAAAAATGAATCGAGAGAAAAATATGGAACGTACTATAAGACAAGAGTTCAACTTAACTGAAGAACAGTTATCTATACTTCATGGAAATGAAATTTCACTCCACTAGTTGAAAACATCACACCGCATGAACATCCTATTTTTGTTTGGCTGTTATCGTATTTTTTTTTGTCTGACGAGACTTTTATGAATCGATTAAACATTAAGTCCACATGTCAAAAGTAAATCTCTATATAATAACAAACCGAGTAAACAGATAATGTATTCACAGAAACTTCCAGTTGATAAAAATGTTACATTGTTCTTACATTTTAGTTATTTCCACATATAGTTTTCTTTTTTTTAAGAGACGTTCGTGTGTATACCTTATTGTTGTACTTATTTACTTCAGTTTGTCTGTCTGTTTCTCCTGTTTTTCGGTTTAAAGTGCTTCAATTATAATGTGCTTACTTATGAACTGGGCATTTCTAATGTCTAATTGAAAAGGAGCTATTCATAATTGCCTTTGTACCTTATCTAGTGTTACGCGCAGTCTTGTTCCTACAGTGTATATATCTTCTAGGAGTAGTGTGCCAGTAAGTGATTGGAGATGCACTGTTCCACTCGGCACCTAAGTGCACAATAATAAAGAGAAATGGTATAATTTACCAAATGACTGTGAGGTCAAGCTAGTAAATCGGAGTTAATTAGATTATCAGAACATAAAAATTTAGTTAGCCCTAGAATGACTGATCCTGTTAAGTTGAATAATCCGCAGAAAAACTTATGAATCTACTTGCATGAAAGCATTAGAAACTAATATAGTTAGGTGGAAATAGAAGTTAATCACTGAATCGTTGTTCATCGAATTGACTGCAAAGACGTGCTACCGAATGATCCAACGGCTATGACAGAGATAAGGCAGATTGCAATAGACAATAAGGGGGAGAGGGGAAAGTACACATGATGCGAATTCTGCAACCATGTGAATAAATTGATATGAGTGTGAGCGACAAAGTGCGCTTGATTCGTCATCCAGTTATTGATAATGCATTACTGTGTCTTATATCAAATAAACCTGTCTCATATAGAATAGCAACCTCACAGAGTTTCTTAGTTCGCTAGTTTCCTAGCTAAGCGCGGGAAAATAGGAAATTGTGGGTGTGTGGCTAACAATCCTAATCTGGCAAATCAATCCAAGGTGTTCCAGGTTAGTGTATGACATCCTGTTTTTCACTAGAAAACGGAAAGTGTCATCCACCATGATTCAAACTACTTGGGTACGCGAACTCCTAGTTGACATCTTGTTCTTAACCTTTAAGGGTAAGGCCAGGTTCAGGCTCCTGCAAGTCTTGCTAGAATACTTTGCAAGGTATGTAGCATACATACAGACTGATTGCCAGCTGGTTTAATACGATATATACAGTCTGTGAGTCATAACAATGCTGTCTGCAGACTCGTATTCAAAAAATCTTCCTCATAATATCAGACCTGTACCACTACGCACATCCTTAAGAGCCGTTTTCAGTATGTCATCGATTTCGAAGTTAAAGAGAAGTAGTGAGATTGGACAATCCTGCCTAACCCCATTGTTAGTGAAGAACAACGGTAAGAGCTGGTTGTATGCTCTCACTTTGCCTAGTGGTTCCTTGTATAGGCTATCAGGATGTTGGTACAATCACGAACACCTTAACAAAAGATAATTCCAAATAACAGTTCCATCAGACAAATCTCACTTTGCTTTGAGTTCAGAAAGTAACGATTGTTGGTCGACAGTACTTCTGACAGTGTTCTAACAACTGACGAAAGTTGAACATGTGGTCAACGCAGGCATAACCTGAAAGAAAGACGCAGCTTGATTCTCACTGATTTATAATTCACATCTTTTACACAACCTGTAGAATAAGACAGTTCCCAATATTTAATACGCGGCTACTAGAAAACTCATACCTCCATAGTATTTAGATGCATTACATAGGCCATCTATAGTGACAGGTCTCGTCCCGGTTACTAGCACGCTAGTTCTCTACTGCGTTGAAAGCACGGGTAAAGAGGGGTTTCTGGGCGTGGTTCTAGAAACCCTACAACAGAAAATCAATATGAGTGCTTACCAAATGTCAATTTGCGAAGTGCTTCAACAGTATGAAGTGCCCCAAATCTTTAGCAACTTCATTCAACAGCTATATGACAGTGGTACGTGTCAAATGTCACAACAGAAAACTCATCGAAGCCTTTGAAGTGAATACAGAAGTAAGACAAGGCTGACTACTATCACCAGTGATATTTCCAATTGTGGTGGACTGGATCATGCGTCAGATTGTGGTGAGCTGTAAGAGAGAAATAAGTTGGACAGATAAGAAGATCAGGATTTCGCAGATGATTTACGTCTCATGTCACACGACTCGAAGACTTGCAGGCGAAAACCAACAAACTGGCAGATGAAGCAGAGAGGACAGGACTTCAATTGAAAATAGAAAAGACAGAGGTGATGGAGATAACTAACCAACACCAATCTTTATCAACGGAGCGAATTCGAAAGAGGTTAGTTACTTCCTTCACCTATCTAGGAAGCATCGTTTCGACCGCAGGTGGAACAGGTGAAGATGTCAAAGCCAGAAACAGGAAGGCAAGGTACACCTTCATCACTCTAAGATGAGTTTAGAAATCTTCTGCACTCAGCATAGAGAACAAGATTCAGACTTTCAACACCAATGTTAAGTCAGTCGGTTCTTTTATATGGGTCAGAAATATGCACTACACGTCACGAAAGGCATTTCCACCAGCCAGCTGCAGACCTTTATCAACAGCTGCCTTCGCTTGGTGATACTGAGGATTGGATGGCCAGGAAGGATTAACTGCAAGAAACTATGAGAACCAACCGACCAATAAGCTACTGTTCAACAAATATGTAGGCGAAAATGAGGACGAATTAGGTACACGCTGAGGAGACCGTCGAATGACATCGAACACGTAGGTATTGCTCCTGTTTAACCCGAATATTAACCTACGATTGGGAGACGTGCTTTTCATGCGGAGTGTACTCCGTGGAACCCATTTTATCACTTCTATACACTGTTTACAGAAATTTTCCAGGTGTCGATCTTGTTACTACTGCCTTTTTGGAAACCACTTATGTTCTTTGTGTATCCATACGGCTTATGATGCCCTATTTTGTGATATTTAATCCGGGGTATTAATGTTTTTAAAAAGAATCTGGTTAATTGTTTCACATGGCTATGTTTGTACAGTCTTTTTACCCAAAGGCACATCCACAATTATTTAGTGGTTATCTTCTTTTATATAAAGTGGTCTAGTTAGAACTGAAGTCTAGAGTGTGCGCTGCATCTATTATAAGCTGTAAATAGTCAAACAGCAGCCAATCCAATTTAGCTTAGATGTCTGCTTCTCGGTACCCATCAGCTAGATGTATATCTAACGTATACTAAACTTATATTCCTTCTTAAAACGGAACTTGTGTCATTCAGCATCGAAGTGAGCAGCTTTACTGATTACCTATTCAAATCGTGACTGACGATATGAGGAGCAACTCACTAACACGAATCTACTAACAGGTGATAACTGTTTTGACTGTGTAGTTAATTACAATGTAACAGCATAAGACAACGGCCAAGCAACAGATCGTTTATTTAGGAAATCAACATATATTTTCACGTAGATTATTGTAAGCAAACAAACAATCTTCTGATTGGTGGTTTCGCGCTGAACGTTAATCTTTCATCTCTTTGTGGCCGTTTCTTGAAGTTCAGATTATCTATCTGCAAATTGTATCCGCTTACGCAAAGTCTGCTGTGATTGGTTGTTGCGTCAGTCTTTGTTCTTATATTTCTCATGACCAATATTGGGGATGTAAACTACTGTCTACTAATTTTGGCTAGCAGCCAGCTCTCATCACATCACACTGTAAAGCAGTAGTATATAACTAACCAAGTTAAACATCTAGCTGTCATATTCGAATTATCTCACGTGGGACTACACGGTTGAAGTGATTAACATTTGATGGCGAATCCATGTACAGTGCGTAAAAATAAAATACATTAAAAAGTATGTACTACTGTTGCAAAGAACAACTGCACTTATATATAAATTAACTTATTACAAAAAAATTAAGTTCAAACTAGTTTATCCATAAAGTCATAAAACCTGCAATCTACATTATTCAATTTCTTTTACTGAGATAATTGGTGCATATAAGCAACTACGTGATATTTTTCTAAGAAACACTCGATTTTATCTAGAAAATTCGATTGCAAAGTATACTAATCGATAAATATTTTTGGTTCTTTTCGTGACTGATTTAAAATAATCTTGCTATTCATGACAATGAAATTAATCGATACTTTTTCATTGATTTCTATTCTACCTACGGGAATAATGCAATGTGTCTGTCTACCAACATTTGAATACCTATATATTAGTCAGACAAAATATGTTTTGGAATCATTGTTTTTGTTACTTTTCCTGCAAAGTATAAACGAAAAGTACTGACTTTTGAGGAACGTCATAGATAAGCTGTGTCAATACATCAAAATCTGTGGTAGACGTAGACTAGTAACCTACTATGTGTTTCCGAAAATAAGTACTTTTTTAACAGTTCTCCTAGATTAATCCAGTCTGAGCATCTGAATTATTGTGTATATAACAAAGTCTTGTCGTCCTCAGTGTCTTGTTACAGGCACATTTAAATATAATTCAAAAATATTGCAACAAGAAATATTCCACAGAACACCTGATTTTAATAACCCAGATATGAGGTGTTTCAGAAGATCGTGAAACAACTTGTGGTATTTATAATAACATAAAATTATGTGGATAAATTAATACCCAATCAGTTCTACATTGAACTGCCATTTGAATTACGAGTTCACATAGTCATCATTTACACTAAAAGTGAATGAATTCCAGAATTGCTGAAATAAACGGTCACTTTTTTATGAACGGTTTAACTGAGATTAAATACTAGTATACTGTATGCCAAAGGAAAGGAGGTCAAACCAATGGCAATATGAAGCTGGAGGTTCCAGGTGGCTGCATATATATGACGCATACCGACTAAGTCTTGAGTGACGTAGAAGTAAGCTGTGGCGACTTACGATTTCTAGTAATTCATTG